AGGCTACACTACCTGTGGGCCGCCTAGCCTGTGGACTGTGTCGCTGTAAGTTGAGGTCCCTTTAAGACATCTCTGGAGCTGGGGACTGGCAATTGGGACTGGTGGTTGGTTGACAGTTGGTGATCTGCCTTGCGGTTTGCTGCTGTGCTGAGATGGCCTAACGCTCTATATCAATAGAGGACAATCTGGCAGCAGACTAGACTTGAAGGACTGCTAGTCTCTCACAACTCTCTCTCTCATGGGAGTGGGTTGCACTGAGCTATTTGTACTGCTTTATAATTTAACAGTTCATTTCTTGTGCTATATATCTAATCATCTTTATAAATAAATATATAAAAGTATCAGCAATCTGGCTTTATCTTTCTATAGAACCCTGTCTAGCACAATGGGAGCGGGGAGGGAGGTGAAAAATGAGCTGATGCCAGGGGCTCAGGTGGAAGATGAATGTTTTGGGAATGTTGATGGCAATGGGTGTACAGGTGTGCTTGACACAATGGATGGGTGTATGGATTGTGATAAGAGTTGTATAGCCCCCAATAAAATTATTTTTTTTAAAAGAAAGGCATTTTAATACTCAATATTGCCTAAATAAGTTTTTAGAACTGCCTTTTAGTGTGCAAAGATGGGAAAAAATTGCGTAGAGCAAGTGAACCATAGGGACAATGTCAGCTGGCTCTGCGACCAATGAAACTGCCTGTCCTTCCTCTGGAAGATGGCGTGCAAAGGCCGTGAAAAGCAACCTGCTTGGTAGTAGACTCAGCCAGGTGCCATGCCTGGGCTGTCCTATGGGACCTCGGAGACAGCCTTTCCTGCTCTTTGATGTCTCTGACCTTGCTAATTTCTACTGCCCCTCATCTAGGTTCCAGACTGAGATGCGAGGTGCCTTTGAAAAAGCACAAAGCCCTTTGGCTAGGATCCACGTGAGCCAAATGTCCATTTGCACCAAGCTTCAAAACAAGGTGCTCATGATTGCAGCCTTACACAGGGTCAAGTTCAAGCTCCCTGGGCGCCAGAAGAGCCACATCTCCAGGATGTGAGGCTTTATCAGGTTTCAGCTGATGAGCTTGAAGACATGGTCCCTGAGAAGTGCCTCATCCCAGATGGTTGTGGAGGCAAATGCATCCCCAGTCGTGGCCCCTGCATTCACGAAGGCCTCCATGGCACTATGGCCTGCCCGACTGGTGTCTGCCAAGAAGATGAACTTCCTGACTCCAAGAAACAAAAAAAGCAGCTGCTTCCAGACAACGATCTACTGCCCTACGTGCTAAAGAATTAAGGGAAGGCACAGGATGTGGTATCAAAGTGCCGTATTCATTGCATTCCAAAGCTTTCTGCTCAATATGAAGATGTGTTTTGGTTCACTTTGCTCAGGTCTGGGCCAAATATGCACGAGTAATGGGATTATCATAACACTGGCTTGTTCTATGGTCAATAAGAGGTTATTGCAGATAGGCCTGAAATGAGAAAGGAAAAGGTAACAATTGTTATCATATCTAAAATTTCTAAAATGTCGATTTTGGGTTTTTTTTATGTGTGTGGAATTGTTTAACTTCCATATTCATTGATACAGCCATAATACCATTCGTGATAATACCAAGTTTGTTTTGCAAATCATAACAATATCAAGAAATTTCTGAAAAGAAATTTGGCCTGAGGGAAATGAAAAATTAAATACAGTAAGGCAATTTCTGTGGACTGGCATTGGATGGCTCACCTCAAGGTCAGCAGGTCAGACACCCCAGCTGCTCCATTTAAGATTTACAGCCTGTTACTATCATGGATATATGCCCAGTAACCACTCATGTTGGATCTTGCTGCATGTTGGGTGAATGTAGCAAGAGTTAGACAAGACAGCTCAATCCACCTCTTGTCTATTAGAAAGAAACTCCCAAGGAGCCATGGGAGGGGGCCATAGGAGACAGATGTCTATGAGGGTATTGAATTGGTAGGAGCATCCTAACTTACCCTGTGTGTGGGTGCTCTCATGACTCTATATGAACTTTATTTCTCATGCTCTGGAACTGGTATGTTTCATGTAGTGCTCTGCCACTTCCCTTCCACAGTCTTTGCTTTGGACTACTGATGCCCATGCTTTGTTGATGCTATAAGCATACAAGGGGTTACCCACCAAAAAGCAGAATTACGCTGAGCTGAGTGGAGCTTTTGTAGTATACATTTTTCCTGCCAAGCAAACATTGAGAAATTCACTCTGAGTTAGTGCACCCAGTGGCATCACCTGGGAAGGTTCTCTCTGGTCACAGTGAATTTTTTCATGAAAGCAGTTTTGCTTGAACCTCATTTTTTATGATAATCGACTTAAGAGAACAGCTTGCTGCTGTGAAATTTTGTTTCCTGCTCGGGAAAAAATGCCACAGGAACTGTTGTGATGTTGAACACAGCTTACAAGAGCAGCACTATGGGGAAAAAATCAAGTACATGAGTGGTTCTCTTGTTTCAAAAGAGGCGAAATGCCAGTTGATAACAAACCTCATTCTGGATGTCTGTCAACTTCCCAAACAGATGAAAATATCAACTTGTAGTGCATTTAGAGTTTGTTCCACCAGATCAGACTATTAATCAAGCTTTCTATTTAGAGGTTCTGAAAAGATAGCGTGACAGTGTGAGACAAAAAAAGGCCTGATTTATGACAGACAGGGGACTGGTTTTGTCACCACGACAATGCACCTGCTCATGTAGCCATCTCAGTGCGCCAGTTTGGGACAAAAAAAATAGCATGCCTCTCTTCCTCCATGTACTGTACTCATCTGACCTTGCTCCATTTGACTTCTTTTTGTTTCCGAGAATGAACAGGGACATGAAAGGACAGCGATTTGACGACAGAGAAGTGGTGAAGAAAGCTGACGGTGCCCAGCTATCAAAAGATATAGCGTCTGGGGTCTTAAAGACTTGAAGGTAAACAAGCAGACATCTAGCTCAGAAGCAACAAAGCCCACATGGAAGAAGCACACCAGCCTGCGTGATCATGAGATGTCAAAGGGATCAGGTATCAGGCATCAAAGAACAAATAAATCATATAATTATGAATGAGGGGGCGTGCAGAGTGGGGACCCAAAGCCCATCTATAAGCAACTGGACATCCCTTACAGAAGGGTCGCGGGGGGAAAAGATCAGCCAGTCAGGGTGCAGTGTAGCGATAATGAAACATACAACTTCCCTTGAGTTCTTAAATGCTTCCTCCCCCTACTATCATGATCCCAATTCTACCTTACAAATCTGGCTAGACCAGAGTATGTACACTGATACAGATAAGAGCTGGAAACAGGGAATCCAGGACAGATGAACCCTTCAGGACCAGTGGTGGGAGTGGCGATACCGGGAGGGTGGAGGGAAGGTGGGGTAGAAAAAGGGAACCGATTACAAGTTTCTACATATAACCTCCTCCCTGGGGGACGGAAACGGAAAAGTGGGGGAAGGGAGATGTCGGACAGTGTAAGACATGACAAAATCATAATTTATAAATTATCAAAGGTTCATGAGGGAAGGGGGCAGGGAGGGAGGGGGAAAATGAGGGGCTGATACCAAGGGCTCAAGTAGAAAGCAAATGTTTTGAGAACGATGAGGGCAATAAATATACAAATGTGCTTGAAAAAATAAAAGATTTACAACCATTGAAACACTAGGGAGCAGTCCTACTCTATTCTACAGGGTTGTTTTGAATCAGTGTTTACTCAGCTGTCGTTGATTTATGACCTGTGGAGCTTGTATTGTCTACCAACATTTTTAGACTCTCAAGGTTCTTGGAAAGCTGTTTTCCAGTTGTAGTATGTGTTATCATCCCATTAATCCTATCAAAAGTGTGTGCTTGGTACATATGAGTATGTTTGCTACATAATCGAAAAATAAAATCCATATACCCTCAAAAAAAAAAAAAGATGAAAAAAATGAGGAAGGTGCTGTCAGCCATCCAAACAGAGGAGTTTGAAAAATGTTTCCAAGAATGGAACCACAGATTTGACAAATGTAGGAAGTGTAAAGGAGAGTAATTTGATGGTGATAAGGTTTTGTAAAAAAAATTAAATGCATAGCTTTGGGGGGAAAATCCTTTTTGGGGGGTCGGTTGACTTGCTTGCTGCATGCTGACCTTACTTATTTGGCAGTCTGGCTCTGCTTCTAATTGATGCAATGAACAGTGTCCCTGGGGGCCTCAGGTAGCACGAGGCGGCCCTGGAGCAGGGAACTGAACCCTTCCAGAGACCTTCAGTCCGTCTCTGCTGCCCTCAGCGTGTTGGCTTTCAGGAAGATGGATCCATGAGTTCCGGGAGCTCCCAAGTTCCCATCTCGCACCTTCATCATGCCCACTGCCCATGTGCCCATGTACCCATCTCTGTGACCAATGAGAGGTTGGGATTCTTGGGAGGCCCTGCCAGAACCACCAGAGCTCCTAATTCAGACTAGACGCAACAGGAAAAGATTGCCACCTGGTGGCAGGTTGATTACATTAATGGATCTGGTTTCCCCCCTCCCTGGTCACCTTTACTAAAACCAAACCCAGCCCTCTGCCCTCCAGTCCATTTGGACACACAGGACCCAATAGGACAGAACAGACTCCCCGTAGGGTTTTCAAGGCTGTATCCTTACAGAGGCAGACTGCCCCGCAGCTGGTGTGTTTGAGTGGCCTACCTTGGGGCTAGCAGCTCAGTGCTTACCACAACGACAGACACCAGGGCCCCTTTCCGCTTACTCAGCCAGCTCCTGAAGACCTCTGCAGCACAGTTCTCCTCTGACACACGTGGGCCCAGCAGGACTCGGAGTTGACTGGATGGCACCCAGGTGCGTCAGAGTAGAACTGTGCTCCATCTGGTTTTCAGTGGCTGATTTATCAGAAACAGATCGCCACGCTTTTCCTCAAGGCACCTCTGCACAGGCCCAACCTCGAACCTTTGGATTCGTTGTGCATTGATTATTTGTTATTTCTATGACTCGTTATTTCTAGTGGGGGACAGTCCTTTGCCCTCATCGGAATAGCAACCTATTCTGAGTAAATGAGCTTCCTTGCCTATCATACTGCTCCCAGAAACTGTTCTCTATAGACCTACTGAATGCCCCATTGCCGTTACTTCTGTTGGTGGAACTTATTTTACAGTAAGGGTTGTAAGGCTGGAGTTTGCTGGATTCGCTGATCTTAACCTGAAAAATGCGGAACAACGCCATTCAAGATCAGCTGTTCAAAATTCAGGAAGAAGGATCGAGAAGGTGGCCTACCGTCTCACAAAGGGTCTAGGCTAGCAGGAATGGGGTGGGACAGCAGAGGCTAGTGGTGGCTCTGGCTAGATTCTCATCATGAGACCCAGCAAGAAGGGTTGTGGATGGCCATCTGGCCTCTTCTTACCTGGCCTGCAGCGGACTGAAGTCTAAAGTAGCACTTAGGGTTGCTCTCAGCTGGCGAGGGGAGGCCTGCATTCATTTTTAGACTCAAGCGGGTACTGAGGTGTGAACGCTCTTCCTTTATTGCTCATCTGACTTCTTGCTGGTTCATGGAAGCGGTGAGTCAACCTATGAACGCTAAATACTTTGTGCAGACAGCTACAGATGGACTGGGTTGCAGAGAGGCAAAGCTTATGCCACTTCCTCTAAATAAAATGCTTCGCTGACTTATCAATGCCTAAGGATAAAGTCCAAACATCAACTCGCCACAATCTGACGCCAATTGCCCTTCCATCTATTGGCTCGACGGCAGTGAGGTTGAGCTATTCTGCTTCCCAAATGGCTCCTCTTAAACTTTACACTCCTTCTGGGTGTTCTTTTCCTTTGTTCCGTTAATATACATTCTTTTTGAATCATCTG